ATGAACAGTCATGGAATCAGCTGTGTGTTTTAACTCAGTTTGAAGCTTCAAATGTCCCAAGTGCCCCAGCACTGTATCCGTCTCTTCCTACACTAGAAGAAGCTTCAGTGATACAGTTCTGTGGGGAAGCTGTGGAAACATGTGGAAAGGAACCTGCAGTTTTGGCACTTCCTGAGCAGGAATCTTCTCCTCCAAGTTTGCGGCCTTTGGAGTCCGTGGCCGACCTTTCTCGGAGCAAACTCTACCCAGAATTACCCAAAACAGCTTTAGAGGTTCAGGTGATCTAATGTACCATGAGATCAAATTTATTGCTAATGCTAAGTATTATTTACAATAAAATGGTCTGTATTACTGTATTATTCAATCTTTTTGCTCTGTAGCCGTTCTCACTGGAGCAGCTGAGTGTTTGGGAGCCAGGCGGAGGGTTGCGAGCATGGCTGGAGGGGGTTGAGGTTTGTGCAGCACAGTTTTGTGCTCTGGCGCGGCAGGAGAAACACGAACTGACTGAACTGTTGCAGAACTACTGGCGCTGCCGCAGACAGCTGACCCAGTCGCACACACAGCTTCACACACAGTCATCTGAGTGCAAAAGCACACAGAATCGTCTGTGGAGCTTCAGAGATGAACAGCTCACACTTCAGGTGTGTTTTACAAAACATCTATAGTACAGAAAGATCAAATGTCCCACTATTGCATTCGCACTTATAATTTCTATCCTACAGGGTGTGTGTGCAGATCAGACAAAGGTATGTGGGTATCACCGCTTCCAGCAGGCAGAGTTTAGTGAGAGTGTGCAGGCTGAGCTGAGAAGACTGTTTGAAGCTTGCAGTGAGCTGCTCCATCAAAAGGTCGTGCTGCATGCGTACACCGCTCTGCTGTCACGTCTGCAGGTGGAATCATACCTGTACAGTCTTATAAAAGGTGGGAAGAATTATTTTACCTGTACTTCTGATATTACTAGTGTAAAATGTATGTGTTACATCAGTTTTGTCTGTTGCTGTCTCAGATTTTCAGTTAGATGGCCAAACACAGCCGTGTTCTCTCCAACCTCTGAAAGAGGCCATCAGCGTCCTGTTTAGTTTCACACGAAGAGTCCTTGATGACACACAGTTCCAGTCAGACATCCATCACTGGCTTGAGAGATTGGTATACACACAAACCCCAAACCATTTTTCAAATTTACTGCCCCAGTGGTCAAGGCAATTTGTTGTTGCAATCCTTCATGTGTTCCTGGTCTATTCTCCAGGTCGCCGTCCTGCTGCATGTTGGAGGGTCAGGGGAGCACCTGTACCTCCTGTGCCATCTTCTGTGCTGTCCTGCTGGGGTGGGAAAGTGGGCTGCACACTTCCTTCGGGTTCGTTAGGAACACACGCCTGTCATTTATCATTTTATCACGTCAATTGCTATACATACAGAGGAGTAGAGTTCTTCTTTATTATCTTACCCAGATACAAGTTTGGGGGAACACCTCTGGAGTTCAGCAATTTATGCAAGCTCTGGCCATTCTAATGTCACCTGCCAGGTAAAAATGCAAGTCTCTACATGAGTTTCTTCTTTTCACCCTCTGACTGTGAGCTATACACTGCAAATTATGCTTTTGGCTTTCATGAGAATCCAGGTCATCTTTTTAAGGGCCAACAGTCTAAGATCTCAGAATGTGTAGCTTTTTTTTGCTTGTTTTGACACAGACATCGTGCAGAGTTCCTGGGCCACATGAAGCCGTGTGAGAGCCAGAGCTCAGGTGCTTCGGGACAAGAATCTGGCAACTGGACCTTAGTGGATGAAGGTGGAGAGGAGGTATGTTTATTAATGTAACAATTTCATTTTGAAGAAAGAGGCACAGTTCACTTCTTTTTGCAATAAACAACAACAGTGAATCATTTAAAGTACGAGGTGCAAGTTAACCATTTCAGATGTACATTTGTACCATAGAAATTGTAAACATGACATGGCAATAAAAAGAAAATAGTTTTAAATTTTAAAAAAAATAGTTTTTTTTAATTTAACTTCTCATGCAGTATTGTTAGCTTATTTGTGAAAATAAAATTATTACTATTATATAAAATATCATTCAGAAGCAGCTGTAAATAAATGTAGGTACATTAACTCCTCACTGACTATTGTCTGCCCCGTAGATGGTTCCTTGGTGCCCTCTAGGTGAAATGTGGCCAGTTTTGGTGCATACATGCTTACAAAATAAGAGAAAGAAACTTCATCCTCTTTTATTTTTAAGGTTTTATGTATCAGAACACACAAAAAAAAATTACAGGAAGTCAGCAGGTCTTAAAATTAGCACTCTTGTTCAGATGTAGCTCTACAAACCTCAGCCATCCTGCTCTTTTTTTAGAGAGGAAACGCTTTCCTCCGTGAACACTCCATGCCTGTTCAGTCTTCTCGTTGTACTGTCATGAACTTTCTTACTGAATAATGGATTTCTTTTCCCAGGTTAAGTAGTAGAAACAAGTCCTTTTTTCTCTTCTTTGCTTTTTTTTTAATCAATGCTGACGTCTTACCTCCTTGACATTGTGTTAACACACCTGAACGCTCCAGACCAGCTAACTGCCAGAACTTCTGTTTTTATAAAGGTGCTCATACTTGCCGATGATCAGTTAATCAAGTGCATTTGATTAGCAGCACCTGACTGCTACTTACCCTTTCAATACCTGTGGAAGCAGTGAGGGTCTACTTGATATTTTTAGACACTGCTTCTCCATTTTAGCTTTGGTTTTGTTAAATAAACAATGACATGGTGTAGTGGGTCATCTGAGGTTGTATTTATCTTATTTTAGGACCTGCTAAGCAACAGGTCTTAAAATCAGATACATTTTCTATTATGTCTTGATATATAAAATGTTAGACGTTAAAGAGGGTGTGCTTTATTTGTACTAAGAGTAAACAGCATCTGTTTACACATTTATTGGAAATAACCAATATGTTTTTAAGAAGCATCAAAATGTTATAGTCTCTGAAAATAGGGTCTCTTCTTCTTGTTTTCTTTCACCAGTTATGATGCAGGCGGTAATAAATATTCAGTCTGCTTGTTTGTAAAGAAGAGCTGTCACAGATTGTAAATTTGTAGAGAGTGCTTTTTAAAACAAAATGTTCTGGTCTGTCTTCTGATCTTGAGTCACATCAATGATCTACGGAGAAATTGTGCTAAATGAACACCTATGACCATTTAAATATCAGTCTGCTGCCTTAAAACCACAACTGCTGCCAGTACTAATGTGTTGCCTAGGAACTGTGGTGTTTTCAAAGCTTTTAAAAGTCACATTATTTTAAAAAACACATTTGTGATTATTTTTCAACATGTTATTACTGTGTACTGTTAAAAAAAAGCAAGTAGCTTCTGCTTTATATTTTGCCAAAAAAACAAAAATTAAAAAATGCCAGTCGTAGCATATTGCAAATACACGCAACATGTACTAAGTCGGCCCCTAACGACATTGTTGTCTTCTGTGTTTAGGATGAGGACCCAGAAACCAGCTGGTTGCTACTATGTGAGGAAGATCTGATTTTATTGATTACCCAGTTCCCCTTCCAGCAGCTCTACTCATACATGCTTGGGATGAGCAAGCAGGGTAAGAGAGTCAGTCTGACCCATCTGTCTGTTAGTTTGTTTGACTCACGGTGTGAACTAACAGGTGCGTCTGTCCCCAGGTGTGTATGAGCCCCAGGCCTGCTCCAGTCAGAAGATGATGCGGGTGTTTGCTTTCGCTTCCTCGCTCATTGAAATTCTCGCTCTCGGTCTACAAACCTATAACAGATCCCGATACAGACAGCTAGTCAAACGAATAGGGCACATCATACGGTCAGTTCGCCAAGCACATAAGCAGCTTCTATGTCCTGACACTTCTCAGGCCATATCACAAAGTCAGAGGATGCATTAATAAAATGTTATGTTTGGCTTTTCTTTTCTGCTCTCCCCCAGAATGACAGTTTGCTATGTGAGTGATCACTGGGCCCAGTACGTGAGTGTGACTGATGCCGCTGGATCTAGCTCTCAAGTACACTCTCTGTCTTTGGAAAAACTGCAGATAGAATATGATCATCTTTTCCTCCGAGCTGTTTTACATGTACTCAGAAACAAAAGGTGAGGAGTTAGCCTCAAGTTTCCATTTTAACTGGGAGCAATTTACTTTACAGACTTTGATATTTGATATTTATTTTGTGTGTTCATCCTCCACAGGCTGGGCATTTGGTTGTTTATGTCTGAGATGCCATATGGGACTTTGTCCAGCTCCATGCTCTGGAAGATCCTTTATGTTATGCAGAGCGCAGAGACTGCAGGGCTAGAAACACTCAGCACAGCTGGTGACACATACTCCTGCATTCAGGCTCTCAGAGGTACAATTAAACACACATAAGATACACAAAATTTTAGCTTTCACATCCTTAAAACTTGTCTGTTGAATATGTTAATGCACAGAAGTGTCCACTCAGTTTCATCATCATATTAAAAAGGAACTTTTTAAAATATCCCAAAAACATTCAATTTGAGCTTTGAACAAACTTGTTAAACTCATTTTCTATTGTGCTTCTTTCCTGGATCTAAAGTTACATCATGTCGGTCTTCTTAGTCTGGAGTTGTCATTGTGATTTTATTTTTTCTCTCGGATACAGACCCACAGCATCAGGCGAGTTTTGAACAGTGGCTGTGTGAGGTGAACAGCTCTGACGGCATCTCGCTCCTCACTGCATTAGCACAAATGGCGACACCCACTCAGCGCTCTGACTCACAATTCATCACCACTATAACTCTCCTGATTTACCAGGTAGGGGGGGCTAATTTTTCTGAAACTAGTATCAACTTTGTAACACAACACAATTCATCATCCCTGATTAGGATCTGTACTGTCTCCACCTGACATCCATTTCCTCATTTTTGCTTCAGGTCTCTTATGTGAGCGTGTCCACCAGAGAAACCTACTCCAAGGTGGGGAGGGAGTTACTGGCTGCTATAGCAGCAGCCCACCCATATGTTATCTCGGTGCTCCTTGAGAGACTGAGGGACACCATACAGACTGTGGGAATGGTTGGTATTGTGATTTCATATTAAAAGTTTTAGCTGTACATCGTTTTTAGTCATCAAATGTTTAATTTGATCCATGTGACACTCGTGTGTTTTTATTTGCACGTTTCGTGTGTGTGTAGGTGGCTTTGTACTTGTGTAAAGAGCTGCCTCTGAGTCTTTGGCAGCCGCAGCAAGAAGAAATATGCGTGATTGGAGCGTGGCTCCTTCAGCATCCTCTGTCAGCTGTAGAGAACCGGCTGGCCTGTGTCATCCTTGAGGGTCTGAACTGGGGGTTCAACACTCAGGTAGAGAGGATGTCTTAGACTCCTGACAGTGCATTCGTGAGTTTGTCACTACCAACCTTCACTAACCTTGTTTCCTTATGTAGGATGGCTCTTTGTTCCTGCCTTCAATTCTCCACAATGAGGTGGCACTGCTGGTGGCTGAAGCCTATCAGAAGTACCTTACAGACAAACCATACAGTGGGCTCATATCAGAGGGAATCAAACAGGTGACACATTTACACTTGCCTCACATCTGCTGAAGTCTTTAATGCTTATTTCTGCATTACACATCATTCTCTCTCTTTCTATCTCCTTTCAGGTCTCTTACCTTGCAAGTGTCCTTCGTTTGGGCGTATCTCCTGAAGCATCCTTTAGTCAGTGGGCATGGCAGCTGCTGCTGAGGCTGAAGCTTCATGGCAATTCTCAGAACCCTAAAGGAGCCTGGGTGGTCCCTGCTTTGGCATCCAACCCACCTCCAGAGCTTACGCACTCTCCTAGCATGCACTCTGTTCTGAGGGCTGTAAAAGCAGGCATACCGATTGGATGCTACCTGTCCATTGCAATGACAACCGTGGGACATAGGTTTGTATTCACACACTAGGAGAACATTTACGGCTGACTTACACATTGTGAAGGATTGAACTGGTTAGAGATGGGTGTAGTTTTTGGAAAACTCAGCCTTGTTTTACCCAAGAAAGGCAAAAACAATTTGAAAATAGATTAGATTAGATAAAACTTTATTAATCCCTCGGGTGGGTTCCTCTGGGAAATTTGTTTTCCAAAAAGCACAGCACCGACAGAAGTTACAGAGTTAAGAATATTATATATATATATATATATATATACACACATACATAAATACAAAGACATATATAGATAAAATATACAAAGGGGATAAATAGAATAAATAGGAATAAAAATAAAAATAAAAATACAAGTGAATTGCACATTTCAAATATGGAGTCTATTGCACTGCTGATTATTAACAAAAAGTATTGCACAAAAGGTAATTGCACAGTGAAGTGGAGAGGCACTACAGCTTAGTTGTTCCCCCCTCCTTTGTCCTCCTGTTTCCCCTCCCTCTTCCCTCCAGAGAGGAGTTAAACAGTTTGATGGCGTGTGGGACAAAGGAATTTTTAAGTCTGTTGGTTCTTGTCTTTGGGAGAAGCAACCTGTCACTGAACAGACTCCTCTGGTTGTTTATGGCCGTGTGCAGAGGATGCCCAGCATTGTCCATAATGTCCAGCAGTTTTTTTTAGTGTCCTTTTCTCTGCCACTGACACCAGAGTGTCCAGCTTCATGCCAACCACAGAGCCAGCCTTCCTGATCAGTTTTTCCCCTGCCCCTCTCTAAATAATACAAAATACGATAAAATAATTTAACACAATTTGATATACAACATTAATTAATGAATTAATGTTGCAAATAGAACTCTTGCTTTTCAGCAAAAGTGTATCAGGGGCTAATATAGCTACAGTATATTATGTAAGGTGTAGATGCGCGAGGTTTCTAACTTTAGTTGTATGGCAATCACATGTATAAGTTGAATAATCTTGTGTGGATTTTGTCTTTATTTTTTCAGCCTGGAACATTTCTGTACTGATGGTGTTGGCTTGTTGAAAAGTCTGATTCAGTCTCGCCATCTGAGAGCTGCTGTGCATCTGTTAGATAACATCCTACCCCCAACCTATCCTCTTAGCTACTACCTGCTCAACAACGCTCAGTAAGAAACAGGCATCCTTCGTAACACATGTAAAATCTGCAGCTAACTCGAGCACTGACTTTATTCCGACATCTCTTGTCTTGCTCTTTGTTAATGGCAGGTTTGTAAGCTGTATTCAGTTGTTCTTGCAGTACGACAGCGTGTGTCCTCAGGGCATGACGCAGCAGGTCACGCATCGAGTGGCGCCACTTCTCACTGGAACCAGTTATGGAGACAACGTCCGTCTGCTGAACAGTGTCATTCAGGTGCATGGTGAAACTTTTGTGCATGTTGTGTGCAAGATTCCTGAATTTATATGAGAAACGATGGAAAAAAAAAATATGGAAAAGAAGCAGATTTTAATTATTGTGTGTCTGGGAAAATGCAATAATGTGCATTTATTTTTTGTTGTTTAAATTACTATGAAACAGTAATTAAATTACCAAGTATTTTCCTCACCCTCGACATAGCTGCCCCTCTCTAAGCCTTTTCTAGAGGTTTCTTCCTGTTAAAAGGGAGTTTTTTCCTTCCCACTGTCACCAAATATTGCTCATAGGGGGTCATCTGATTGTTAGGGTTTTCTCTCTATTATTATAGGGTCGACACCTTATAATATAAAGCACCTTGAGCTGACTGTGGTAGTGAATTGGCACTATATAAATAAAGTTCTATTTAATTTAATTATTCGGGGTAGTTGAACAAATTTTGAGGCAGCTAAACCCTGTTAGAAGGGTTTTTACATTTAAACACACTCAATAATTCAGTCCTTATTACTTTGGGACTCATTACTCATTTTCTAATTCATCTTTCAGAGTCATGTGGTAGAAAGTTCGAAACCAGGCCTTGTTGGAGCTGCAGCAGTTCTGGAGTTTTGGGTGGGAATTCTGACTCAACAGAACTTGTGGTACCGAGACAAAACAGTCCTGTTCCTCATGGATCAGATCTGCTGCGCTGCCTTCACTTACCACCAGGAGGAATGTGTCCAAAAACTCCTGTACCAGCAACATAAGGTATTTACAAAGTGATGTTTGATTTGCATGATTAAGCAACCTCTGAACTTCACATTAATATTTAATGAGACACAAACCAAACAGACCGGGAATAAGGTGAGGAAAGCTAATTAGCAGCAATGTTTGGGCGGAGTTCTGTTTTTTTTTTACTCTTTTTCATACTTTCTGCAGACTGCTTTGGGTTATCATGGAGACCGGGGTCTGCTCTCTTCTCTGGTTGGCTGGATTTCTGGAAATGCCACACCCTCCTTCATCGAGGGCCAATCCTTGAGTGCTGAGGTGAGAAACAACAAGGCAACAGCCGCATGTGTAAATACAATTGATCATATTAGTAGAATTCTCCATCCTCACTGGCCTGTTAACATTTATGTTTTCTTTAGATCTGGTTTGCCTGGATGGTGCTGAATATGGAGGGTGTGTTTGAGGAAGATTCTCAGCTGAGGCGTTGTGTTGAGCATGAACTCCTGTCAGAGCTTAATATCTCCCCCGAACAAGCCTTAAAGGTAGACAGTTTATCAGTAATAGGTTCATTATCTCATCACATGATGTGACATTTGCAAAACTAAAGAGCAGAAATATCATAGAAAGTACTTAGGATCCTGGTCTACTGCTGTTCAATGATTTGGAGTGTTGTGTTTAGATGATGTTAACAATATTTCTGTTTCTGAGCCAGAAGGCTCAACAGAGGCTTAAGTTGCCAGTAGCCCCGTCTCTGCAGAGGCTTCAGGTATATCGTTGGGCATATCAGGCCGCAGCTACACCACCTGATCACCCCCTCCTACCCCTCATCTGGCAGAAATTCCTGCAGCTCTACCTTAGACAGCCTGGACCTGAGTACGGGTATGATAAACATGCTCATGTGTTATGATCCCCAGTCAAAGAAAGCAGAGAATAGGCAGAATCTGTATCTATCTGTCCATGTCTCTCTAACAGGCTGGCTGCAGGAGGATGTATCGGCAAGAGGTTCTTCCAGGCCTCTTCCCAGGCTGCTTTCCTCCGAGATCTGAGGCAGAGAATACAGGAAGTGTCTGACTTCCACCACGCTGCCAGTCAGGCCCTCCGGGTACTCCCACCGAACACACCCTCATCAGACCAGGGTGACGAAACCCCCAATAATCCCGGACCACCTTACCTCACTTCTCCTCAGCTACATACAGAACTGGTCAGGTATGGTGCTGATCCTGACACAGAGCTTTTATAAAATCTTTCTTATATTTTTGTTTAAAGATCATTTCCTATATTCCAGGCTATGGCAGGCTCTAAATTCTCAGCTGCTTGTTTGTTTGTCTACAGGTTGTTTGGAGTATTTTCTGTGTGGCTGGATGACGAGACTCTGCAGAAGCAAGAAGTGTATCTTCCCTCTCTTCCTCCAGAGTATGAACCACACAGACTGGCACAGGTCATGCAGCGGCATCAGGTGAGTATATATTTTTTTAAATATATATATTACAATATATTATCCATTTATTAATTGTTTTTGTTTTGTGTTGTTTTTTGGGGGGTTTTTGTAGGAACTTTGGCTGGAATATGTGGACCAGGAGCGTCTACAATATGATCAGAGGGAAGTTTTGTCTCTTTGGAAGAAGGTGCAGAGTGAGCCAACATTCCTCCAGACTCAAACCTCTGGTTTCACTGACTACACCAGCCTCAGCAATGGTACGGAGCCAAGCTTTATAGCCAAACGATTAAGCAGGGGTTAATTTAAAAAAAATAATAATACAGATACCAAAAATGCAATTCTGTAAGAAGTTTATATACTGTGTGTCAGCTTCAGAACAATAAATAATATATTCTCTGTTCGAGATATTTTTCACAGGAGACATTTTCACTTTTTATTTGTTAGTGTTTTTCCTGCTATTACATGTCAGAAACTCTCCTGTAATAAAGAATTGTTCTCTTGTTGATTTAATTCCCTTTTCTCCTTTATCTTTGAGACCAAAATTATGTAGACCAACTGTACACACGTGTATTTGTTTCACTTTTCATATGTGCCACAATCTACTTCTACTTCCAAATCTAAAAATGCTTGCATTTGATATTGTCTTAATTCAGCAAGGGAGCGTATCCTGTCCAATCTGCAGAAACATCCAGTTCCCCGTTTAGCTCCTGAACTGCATAAGCTGAAGTCACCAGTACCTGAAGTGCCTACCGCCTGTCTCACTGACTGTAAAGCTGCCTGTAAACTGTTAGAGCAGGACCTCAGCATTTTGCAAGATCAAGCCAGGTATGTGTAAATCATAAAATAAAAGCTTTTATTTTGAATTATCTATAAACATAAACAAGCCGCATGCAGATTCCCAAATAATTTATCTTGGCACCAGGATTGCTGTAGCACGTGAAGCCCAGCAGGTGGCAATGGAGCAGGAGCTGCTGGAGAGCCTTCCTTTACTGTTTAAGAACCGACCAGAGCAAGTCACCATGACCCTGGAGTGTAAAGGGAAGAGTGGACAGCCATGCCAAGGAGCTGCAAACATCACTGTCACAGTAAGACCTCTCACACTGCAGGCTAGCCACGTTTTAAGTTACAGCTTTGGTATGTTTTATTAATCTATGTGTGTGTGTGTCTGTGTGTGTGTGTGTGTGTGTGTGTAAATTTGTAGTGTGAGCATGTGCAGAAGCAGGAGGCAGTGCAGACTCAGATAACATCACTGCGCAGGGACATCAAAAAGCTTCAAACCGATGCTATGGCTCCACCACCTGAAATCCTGGCCCAGGCTGCCGTTCACACTGAAAACTTCATCACGTCAGTACAATCAGATTTTATATCATTCATATGAAGATGCATTATATAATGTATAGAATTTTCCATTTGACATATATGAAGGTAGATGGGGAATGTGTTGACTCACGTGCACCTTGTTTCATGGTCTTAGGGCTTTGGTGAATATGCACAAAGCACAAAAATCTCCTGCAGTCCAGAAAGTTGGTGTGTCTGCTTTTTACAAGGTGGTCTCCTTTGTATGTGAGGACACGCTCCGTCATCCACCAACTCGTCAGTACCTGTCTTCATGTGTGGAGGTACTGGGACAGGTGTGTATATGCTCTAACAAATACATGCACATATTGCAGAGTAGCAGTGTTTTTATTTATTGTTGTGTGGAATATATAAGTACAAAAAATGGGTATTTGAGCCAGCTGGAGTACTAGAGAATAACCCTAACCACCTTGAATAGAGGGCATAAAGCATTATTGTGTACATAAAGAACACACATCATAGATATGTTGGATGGATTTGCTGCGATTAACTACTCAAATTCAAGTGTATTTAATTTTGTGTGTAGGTATTTATCCAGGGAAATGCAGAGGAGTGTGGCCGTGTCCTAAAGACTATCCTGGAGCAGCGGCGGCTTTGCCCTCTCATTTCCCCCTTCTTCACTCCCAACGCAGCGCCCAGTCAGCTGGTGTTTCTCTACCAAGACGTCGTGACATCGCTGTCCCTCGACAGCGCCGATGTCGTTTTCATGCTGCTCACTAAGGTTAGTCCACATGCAAGTGGAATGGAGAAATGGGATGTATACACCTCAAACCACGTGCCAGTTGCAATGTCCACTTCTGACTCTTTTCCCCTGCAGTTTGATTTGTCTCAGTGGCTGAATGAAGCCCATCCCGTGTTTTCGGAGAGGACACGTTTGCTGGAATTAGTCCATGGAGCTCTCTGCGTCTGCGGCCGAGACCCCGAGCCTGAGTTTCTCACACCTTTTCACCTTTTCACCAAACACTGGACCTGGCTTTTACGGCATCATTTCCCCGACCATTACAGCGATTGCCTTCGCCTCCTCATGACCAGTGAGTTGATCTGTTCTGAAGTGATAAATTGCGATTACCCTCAATTTTTTTTTGTCATTTCTTTCCCTTCAGTGTAGTAAAGAAGGAAAATTTCCTTAAGAGACATCTTTCTTGGACTCTTATATTAAACAGCCATTTTTCCCTTCTTGCACATCACGTTAGACCCTGACTGCTATTTATTTTAGAAAATGAATCTAAGAAAATGCATTAATCTTCCTGAAAGGATGCAAGTTACGATTAAACTGATTAATGAAAAATGAAGTCAGTTCATTTTGAACAACAGATGAAAATTTATTGTCCGTGTCAGTGAGTGATTCATCATTGTATGGCTTTTGTTTTTCTGGTTTTTGTTAAGAGATTATTCCAAATGGAGCCGCTGATGTCAGCTGTGATTACAGAACTAATCAAGAATAATCAGTTTGGGTGTTTTGTTGGGAACTTCTTCAACAGAAGGATTTTTTTTAACCTCCTCAGGCTCATCCAACCAGCTGCTCAGTCCGGAGTGCTGGAAAGTGACTCTGCGAGTGCTTGGCTGTTTACCTCCATCTCGCAGCACCAAGGGCAAAGCTGAAGCAGCTGTGTGCAGCACTGAAGTCTCCACCCGTGGTGTCGCACCCCCACCCTCCACCTACAGGTCCCCCATCACCCTCTCTCCTCAGCAGGTAGTCTTGGCGTTGTAAATATGTGATTCACATCTCTATTAAGAGTCAGCATGCTGCGTGTTAAGCCGAAGTTTCTTGCGAAAATGCTAGTTTGTGTTTTTGTTCAGTTTTATGACGCTTAAATCTTCGTTTTTGTATTTTATTTGTTGCTGACAGGTGGATGAGACAGTCAATTGGCTGAGTGACTACTTTTTACGAAGTCGTCTCAGTAAGACGGACCTCCGCAGCTTCGGCCTCTATTCTTCCTGGACTCCCTACATCGAGGACGTCGTTTCCTTCTGGGACCATTTGATCAGTTGCCTCATCAATGTGCAGCTCAACAGCTGCGCCCGAGAGTCAGTGGGCAGCAGCAAAATAATGAAAGGTAGCTGCAGATTATTAGCTTACATTCATGTCAAACATCTGATCATTTATAGAGTTTAACTTCTAGTTTTGTGCATATCGGTTGTAATGCATCATTGTGAAAAAGAAATATGGCACTCTCACAGCTCTGCAGGACCTGCACAGTAAGACTGTGAAGTTATTTAAGCCATGGATCTTTCCTGTGGACGCTGGCGAGGGCGGGTAAGTGTCTCACATCTCAGACAGGAACAAAGATCTGCTATCAGTTAGCAAGAGTTAAAACAGATGTGAGCATAGATAGAGCAAATTTTAGACAGGGTAGTTATATAAGCTGATCTTTCTTAGTTTTCTTAGTTTCTTTTCACAGGGCAGTCATTAAAGGTTATAGTCATTACTTAACTGAATTGAATCTTTCAAACCTCTGAATCACTCTACACATTACCCAGAATAAAGCACTTCTGTAGCATTGTTCAGAAAAAAAGGATGCATTAATTATTTATTGAATGGCACACAAGAACGTCAATAAAGTATGTCCTTTACATCTCATTGTCATTAATAGAAGGGACCTGATCGGTGAATTTGCAGTTTGATTCTAATTTTAGAGGACAAACCAAGAGTAACAGCAAATTATGGACAAATAATCTCAATAACTGCATCTTTATCTCAGTAACATCAAGTGTTACCCCTGGCTGGAGACGGATGCGAGTGCAGCAGGATGTATGGTTGGCCTCTACATTCAGATCACTGACCTGCTTCATCACAAGTTCAGAGGCAAGTATGCACAAGTAACAGTTTAAGCTGCAGTGATCTTTGTCGTCTGTGCTGTAATAACACGGAGAAGCTAGAACCATAAAGGATGTGTTTACTTACACGTTGTGTGCGTGTTTATGTTGCAGATCGTCTGCTGCCTGGTCAGAGGGGTGCTCTGTGGCTGTGTATGATGCAGTACTGTGAGAGCTGTACCTCACCACGCACACCGGAGTACCTGCTCTACCTGTATCACACACACCTACGCAGCCTGCCCTGGAGACACCTGCACCCTGACACTAAGCTCATGGAGCAACTCTTCAGTGTGAGATACTTTGCCCCTAGACCCCTAACACCTCACACTGATTTAGACATGTATGTCACAGGGAAGCTTGTTAACCTGAGACCATGATCCTTGGCCCCAGCTTCTATTAGTAGCCCGCACTTACAGAAATACAGTCACAGCTCCTTGTTCTTGGAAAAAAGCTGTGTCTCAAGGCCCCTATCAATCAATTTTTGAAGGCTATCCTGTGGAATCTATTAGCATAGATAGGATACTTGAATTCATAATAATAAAGGTCTGATTTAAAGATTGAAAATAATGCATGCTTATCTGTGAACACTGAAGAGTAGCAGAAATTGATATTGGAAGCATGAAGAAGGTTACCAAGCAACCTATTACATTATTCAAGCTAATATATTAAACTTTAAACACTTTTGATATGTGTGCATCATTATGGGGTTTAATACTCCTACTACTGAGATGTTTAATGATTTATCATAAATAAATGCATCAGTGTATCGATATTTACACTGTTATAGCTACTTTCACAGTAACAGGAGCCTAAAATGTGCATTTTAAATTTACCTTGCATTAAGTAGATGTTGTAACTGATACTTTGAATACAGTCCAAAGCAAAAGGGTTTGATGTGTTTGGCGCTTTTTCGATTACTTGCGCTTCTTGTGCCTACAGGTGGAGAGAGGAAGTCCCAAGAGCTGCTTCCTGTTTATGGGAGAAGTGTTATGTGAAGTTAACTGGGTCAGCGTCCTGAGTGACCACTTACAAACACCTCCCGGCTCCACAACATATCCAGCTGTGTCAGAAATGGCCACACAGAAAGAGTCCCACACTATGTTGGTATACCTGCTCCACATGCTCGTTTTTCTGGCAAAGGAGGAACAACTCCTGAGTCAGCAGGTGAGTTCAGGCTAGTGTGGTATCGCATCAGAATCAAGAATCAGACCTGTTTCCTTTTTTCAGTCATTTCTTTTCTTTTTTTTCCTATTTAACCTCCAGGACTCACCTCTGTTCAGTCTGCTGGTTCAGTCCACATCTCTACCCTGGCACAAACTGGACCTGTCCTCGTACCAGAGCATTCTGGGATACTTCAGCACCCACTACCCTCCCTCTTTGCTTCTCAGTGCTGATTCTGCACCTCAGCTGCTGCTGAAATCACTCCGTAGTGCTGCTGGGCTCCACCCCTGCCCCGGTGAAGCTCCACACCAGGTGAGACGTTACAATCCTGTTTGTTTTCTGCATCAGATTTGTTAAGGTGCCGTAAATCTCTTAAGGCAGGCTAAACCAGCAAATGGATTACTCTGAGAACGTTTCAACTCTTGCTTTTGACTTGATCAAACCAATGACAGAAAATTATAAAATATAATTATTAGAATAGTATTATGCTGTATAAAATATATGGCTTGTGTTGAAGAATATAGGAATTTTTGAACAACTTCTATTTCTGTCAGCATCTCGAGTTCACTAAACTGGCATGCCTGCTATAAAAGTGCAAGGTTTGGAACATACACATGAAACTTAACCTTAAGCAGTTGCAGCTTTCAGGGAACTCGGGATGTAAGTCAGAGCCTTGGTCTGGGGCAGATTGACAGGAAAACTCGCGTGTTTCATGGCAGAGCTCCTTGACCCAGAATCCTACCACAGAGCCACTGTGCTGTCCATAACACTCAATCTGTGTAGTTGCTTTAGATGTATGTTTGCAGTACGACATTTTATACATCATCTGATATTTTTCCCAAAATATCCAGTGTCCAAAAAAATATATTGGCAAGCTCTGTACAATCCTTCTAACTTTACATACGACTGTTTCAGGATCTAGCAGAAATACGTGGCAAAAGCTGTGAAACAAAGAATACATTTAACATAAAGCATGAAGCACATAAAGCACTGTAAATGTAAAACAGACATATTTTACTTATTATCTACAAGGTTTTCCTCTCACAGTAAGGAGCAATAAACAGTTCCTCACTAGTCTAAAAAATAGTCTGGTTTTTGACAAAATGCGATCGTTTACTTCCATTTATTGTGGGCTTGGTAATTTGGGGCTTTTAACAATTTTCTTTAAACAGTTATTTTCCAAGGGTGGAATGATTGTACAGCATCTTTAATAACTTAAAAAAAAACAAGAATAGGAGTTAATGATGTAAAATAATCACGTCCATTTTCGGCCTGAATTCATTTAAAGTGTTTCATCTGTTTTAGCAGTCAGGAACCTTTAGTTTACCGAAAACTGATATATATTTTATAGTCAACAGTATAACAACAAATAAAAAAAGACGAAAAAACCCTACAATTTCTTTTGTTTTGTTTTTTTATTTTTTTTGTTTTTCATATCAGGAAGAGACGCTAAAGGCTGGAGCCTACATTTGCTGGTGTGTGCAATCTCTGGTGACTCTGGAGCAAGGAGGCAGCATCACCCTCACCAGCCTGGAGGCTCAACTGGAAACACTTTTGGAGAGTATCATAACCTTCAACCCACCAGGTGAATTGTCCTCACCATTTTGCTAATCAAAATCTTCAACCATCAGTAAAAACTTCTATAACAGAGATGTCAAAATCATTTTACGTGGTGGGCCACATATACAGCCCACTTTGATCCTAAGTGGGCCAGACCAGTGAAAGTTTAACTGAGCATTTAATCTCTCAAAAATCTAAATATAATATAATAAATATAATAAATGTAATTGTAAGAAATAAATGTGTGAGTTTCAGTAAAAGAAAGAAAGAGTCTGTTAGCTCGCAGAAAATATCCCTTTGCTTTTTACTCTGAAGCTTTTTTATTAAAGCAGGACTTTCTATTGTAAAGAATTGTTAAAAACAAACAAACAAACAAAACAGGAACCTTTCTGTGATTTTAATTGGGTTGTTTTTTTTTTATTGTATTGCTTAATTACTTTGGTGTAGTATGATTGGTCATGGGGGAGGTCTTTATCAGTAGGAGAAGCTGCTAAACTTATAAAAATACAGTTAAAAGTCCAAACTGCATGCCCTCCTTTTTTTCAAAGCTGGGCCGAATTGGAGTCCTTGCCAGGCCAATTCTGGCCCTGGGCCTTATGTTTGACACTCCATTTCTACAGCCTTATTTCTACTCCTTCCTGTTCCCTTTCAGAGGTGGATTTGGAGCAGAGGCACATGGCGTTCTGCAGTCTCTTCAGTGATGCTTTGGCTTTGCTCAACGGCGTGGGCGTCTCAACAGGCGAGGCACTCGCTGCCCATGTCATTACCTGGCTGGACAGGAAAGGGAGAGGCTTTCCAACTCTTCCCCTTCTCACAGCCTGCTCCCGTTGCCTTGCATCAGTGCGACACATGACACGCATCATGGAGGCATGCATTACAGGGTACTTCAACCATGGTAAGTAACAGTTTAGGGTATGCGGCCCTTTACTTCAGTTCTACCATTTCCCCTGAAAGTTGGTTTAGTCCTTTTCTTTTCAAAACATTTGAAGAGAACGAGAGGATGTCCGAAAATTGACTAATCTTTTTTTCCACATCGGTGATTTCAATTCAGCCGAGGAAGAGTCTGTAAGGTGGGGACCTGTGTTGGCATCGCTGCAGGTGCCCGAGCTCACGGTAGATGACTTCCTTTCTGAGAGCCAATCAGGAGGCAGTTTCCTGACGCTCTACGCCTTTATTCTGCAGCGTCTCAACAGTGAATACACAGCAGCCAATGAGAGGAGGACTCTGGCTCTAATTAACACTTGGACCAATCAGGTCTTTCCCAGGTTTGTCCCTTTCACTCGCTCTTGCGTAGCATGTAGCGTTTGTCCTCTGTGAGCTGTAAACATATGAACATGTTTCATTTGTCTCTAGCGGTCCGGCTGATGAAGCCAAGCTGTTTCTGTGGTGGCACAAATCCTTGAATCTTTCAGCGGAGCAGCTGCAGCCACAGGCAGGCTTGACTGAAGTATCAGGTGTGGTCTTGGGCCTGATGAGGTTTCAAACTAGGCTGCTTCAACTGGGAGAAGAAAGACTGAACTCTGGCCTGCTCGGAGCTATAGGCCTTGGAAAAAGGTCTCCTGTCTCTAATAGGTGAGCTGGCTTGCACATTAGTAAATCAAAACACCTGTAGTCCATAAATAGTAAAAAATGTGTAAAACAAATTTACAAATGTTCATAACCTAACTGTTTATGTATACAATGCTTTAGGTTCAGGGTGGTGGTACGCAGTCTGTCAGCTTTTCTGTCCATTCAAGTGCCATCAGAGAGCGAGCTTCGACTTCAACCCACCACTGACTTGCAGCTCTCTGCAAAAGCACAGCAAGTATGCAAAAACCTGAAGTGTTTCATTTTCTAGTTTGTAATTATCACCTAAAAATAACTTCTTTTTTTCCTTTCCGATGGTTTCAGATGTTGGGGACGCTGGAAGCCATGCCCAGTAATAAGCAGTACGCCGAGTTAGAGGACTCTGTGAATAAGGCTGTCCAGTTCATTCGCTACCCAGGACATTGTCTCAAAGATGGACCCCGGCTGCTGGCCCTCCTAGCTAACCTCCTATACCCCGACCTCAGATACCTGCACATTATCCGCTGACTGTGAACTCACCTTCTACCTGAGAGTAAACAATTTTTCAATAGAGTCAAAAATCCTGAAGGAGCACAAAGGTTTTAAATGATGAAGACACTTGTTCTGAATTGCCTTTTTATTGTGCCAGCGGGGGACTTGTGTGACAGAAACTTACTCATTAAAGCTGACTGAACATTTGTGAGGAACAAACCTCTTGACTGCTAGAGTACAGTGAAGGAACACAGATCCGTCAGAAGTTTAAGCAATCATGTGTGCTAATCTTTGACATTTAGGCACTTTATTTTCTTCTGATGTTCATGCCTTGTTGCTTTTTGCATAAGTTGCCTGTTGATTTTCAGCTCCATCGGTCCTGTTCTTGATTTGAGAGGATGTTGCATGTATTTATTGAAGTAGAACTCATGAATCAGAATTCAGCAGCAGGCTCTGTGGGTGTGAGTTTCACACCTGTACATGGAATCTAACAGGAAAAAAAGATGAACGGTCCACAGATTATTTAGAGGATGTTAAAGGACTCATTTAATAGACCTATAGGTTTGGTAGTACCTTCTTAAAATAGGGTGTGGGGCATACCAGGAATGCTGGTAGTTGGGGTTCATTGCTTAACCTAAGTCTTGTTTTTTGCTGCTGATGCTTGCATATCCATGATCCGCAGTCTGAAATATTTCAATCCAAGGTACTGTATACAGTAGGAGGTGATCATGTCTAGTAACAGCACATTTGCCAGTATTATGTTCATTTCCAGCCAAAAGTGCTTTCCTTGTTCTGCCAAAGAGATGTTATTTTCATCTGCTCAGCTACTTAAACCTCCTTAACCGTGATCTCTGGTTGTGTCATCAGTGTCCGTTAAGTCCAAAACTACAGTCTGGAAAAGCGAAGTACAACTTGTTTTCCTTGTAGAATTGTATGTGCAGTGTTATTCAAATTGCTAATGGTATAACGAGGTTTTAATGCTGTTGAAGCTAGAACAGAACTGGACAGCTTTCTTACTTTAATTACTCCTGTCAACTCACCACTTCTGTTGCTCTGTGCCATCTCAGTAATCATCGAGCTGCACTTCAGCAGCCTGCAGCTCGCCTTATTGCTGGTATTATGTGGTGACTGTTAATGTCAAAAGCGTTTCTTTTTTATGAGTCAGTGATCAGGAATGGGTCTGTAAGGACTGCTGCAGGAGGTGTACTCCGTAGCCAAGCAGAACAAAAGAGACATGACTGCTCAATAAAGGGAACTGAACACCTCACAGCTGGTATTTATCAATATAACGCAGCAATCTGGGACCAGATGTTGCACATGGAGCCGCTGAAAGCACAAACAGGACAGGTCCAGACAGCAATTAGAGGTACAATGCATTGTTCCGCCTCTACAACAAAACAAAGTTGTCTTTATCTTCACTTTCCGCTCATAATGCTCCCGACGGATAGACTTAAACTGCATCTTCCTCGTCAAAGAAGGCAGTTATGACAGAACCTATTGTGGACTGATTTTCATGGACAGCCACATCCTCCTGTTCTCTTCATATGGACAAAGTAACAGTACATGCCCATCACTAAAAAATTTTTGAAGAAAGTACTCTTCCCCTATAAATAGAGCCTTTAAAAAGCAGGGGGTGTTGAAAATGAGCTTTTGTGTGCATGCATACATCCAGCATTTGACACCACCACTTCTGTCTCAGAGAAAAACCTCTCTTCGGGCAACTGTGGTCTCTATGGTTACTGGAAGGGTGGAAGTGAGAGAGGAGGTGGAGAGGACGGGAGAAAAGAAGGGGAGGTGGGAGATGCTTGCAGACACTCGCCATCTCCTCTTGGCTCTCGAAAACGGCCTTCGGCGCGTTCTGTGAAACCGTCGGTGTGTTTGTCTCTCACCGTCTAATTCGACCTTCTGTTCTCCCGTCTCTCAGCTCAGGTGGTGAAGTGCTGTGGAGTGGTCGGTACTTATGTGAAAGGGTTTGCTCTGGAAACATTAGCCTCATAAAATTTCTCCTTCCAAACCCATCCAGCGTGTCCTCCATCCCATCCGACCCGCATACACATGCACGTGCTCGGCGGGACCCGTTGCTGATATTCTTAGCAGACACATCACTGTCTGGCAGATCCCTGTGTCACCATGGAAACCCAGCATCACCCCGTTTCGGTGCACACTCAGCATCAAAGGAGCACGTGGATGAGCTCCCAGGCAGTCATCAATGGCTATTAGTTTGCAAACAAACGCACACATGGTGCACGGCAGCAGAAATGTGACTCTGTTCTCTGAAAGCTCACCAGTTATGCAAGACCTCCTGCCTGTAATGAATAAGAATAGTCGATTGTGTAACCAGTTCAGTGATTTGATACAGACAGATGCGGATCTTCACCTAACCGGATGTTGCATTGCAGTCAGCTTCAACATGTTTCAGTGGCAGTCACATTCCCAAGCACGAATAGCACTCCACCACTAACCAGCTGTTCTTGTGGGACAGCTGCACTGGCTCGAAGTCCCTCCCCGCTGCCAAAACACACACCTATCGAGACGCACAGGAATGTCTCCCCAGTGCCCTGTACAGCTATACGCCAGTTCTCTTCGTGCTTGCTTTATTTTGAATGTTAAGCGTGTGTGAGGACATGCATTCACGCGTGTGTCAGACAGACTCCTCCATTGAGACGCCCACTTTTCTCGCACCTCCTCGCCAGTCCAGTGGGGAGTGATGACTCAAACCTAAATGAGCCTTTATTTCTCTCTCATTATCTCTCCCCGTCTCAATTCGACAAGAAGCGTTTCACCCTGCTGGGTGTACCTTCCTGTGCACTTAACGCTAAAAGTCATCAATAATGACTCAGACCTCCGCATTATATGCAATTTTCTTCTACTTTTTTTTAAAGCTAAGTAGGCTGCTCCTTGATCTGATCTGCACAAAGGAATATTTCTCCTTTGAGATGTGATGTGTGGAATGAAATCTCCCTGCAGTGAAAGACGGAAAAAAAAATCTCCAAATAAGGCAAATTTTATTGAACAAGATCTATTTAATGTATCTCTGGGGATTTTAAGCACGTGGCCACCACTCTTCTCTACTGTTACCCACACTTTGTCTTTAGGTCCTACATCTGGTATCTGAGTTCATATTAATGTGAAGATTAATAGATTTCACATATTACAAAATGTGAAATCTTGTAATATCAGGTTCACTTGTACACAAGGACAGTCTAGGGGTCACTCTGAGCTTTAAGACCATTTGTCATTTGTCATTTGTTTGGGTAAGTTTAACTATTTGTTTGGGAATCCTCACTAGTAAAGCACATAACCTGATGAAGGCCTAAATGTGGATGCTTATTGCTTACTGATTTGTTCAAATTAAGACTTATTATATATACTTATATACTTATATAATAAGACATTATTTAGAAGCTGTGTATGTGTTGAATCTCTACCAAACATCAACCTTGATGGAGCCATTTTTACTCTCCAACAATCTCCAAGCAGCTCTGGGTCAAGGTTCAGGGTCAGATGGATTATTTTGGAAATGGCTAAACTTGGATTTATAATAATAGGTGAAAGGCTTAAAGATTGGGAGGGAAAAAGATAATCTATGTGTTGGGGATGAGGTTAAGTGTAAAAGTGAAAAAATTAAAAATAAGATTTGGGTTGAGGATGTAATGGGTTTTTGAGGGATGAGAAAGCGTGAAAGTTGAGGTTTGGTGTTGAGAAAGTAGGATGTGACTGTGAATAGATGTTAACTTTTCACAAAGATAGAAGATGAAAATGCGTGTGTGTGAAAGAGGGGAGTCATCACATGACTCAGCAGTCAGTGTTTATACCGACTAAATCCAGGCACGACTGCAGGATCACACGCATTAACACACACCGCTTTCTTTTTCCTTTAAAAAGAAAAAAAAATTAAAGCAAGGAATCAGGACGACGCCTCTCCAAATATGTCCACCCAAGCCCCAGACCTGCAAGCGTGGACTGCCCATAAATCAAAAAGTTAAACCAATGCCACTAATTTAACTTAATCCTAAATAGAAATCAGCCTGTGCTGTTTGTGTGTATGTGAGCAGACCCTGAACAAAGAGTGCTGCTGGCTGCTGGCTGACTGAGGGTTGGGTCTGCTCTCCCGGCTGCGATTTTCAGACACAGGACCAGAATCGGAAACAAGGCAGCAGCAGCAGCAGCAGGAGGAGCAGGCTCGGTAAGGAAATGTTTTGACGCTTTTTAAGGAAAAGCTTTCTATATTTGCGAAATTTCAAAGTCGGGTGGACCAGAAAAGAACACGACTGCGGAGAAGCGGGGTTAGGTTTATCAACCATCACCAGAGTGAAAGGAGTTATTAAAAATCGAATACAGCCCCACATCAAAGAAGTTACAATCACTTAGTAACTTTTTCATAGATTCCTTGCGCACCCATGCGTTAATCCCTTTTTAGAGAACGGTACCCTGCTTTTTAAAAATATATATAATTATTATTAATAATATTATTATTACCCACGGTGGATGTAGACTCGAAGGTTCATGGACATTTGTCCGAGATTTTTCAGAGAAACGTCAGGGGGATCTCGGTGTTTGGTCACCGGTTATTTCAGAGCCAGTGATCCTCCCGGCGTCCTGACGTCAATTTATAAGGACCCAGCAGCATCAGAGCAGCAGGCAGGCAGACAGCAGGGGCTGAAGGGAAGAAAGACAGAGAGAGACAGGGAGAAGCCGGGCCATGCTGTTCTGATTCTTCATTAATTGCAAAGCTTCCTGGTAGGATTTTGCTTGTATTTCTTCTCACTGTCCATTTATTCGTTTTTTATTTTTTAGGCTTTTCCTTTCTGTCGGAATGTGAGTCAGATTAAACCCGTCGTTGGTTTTTACAGTGGCACAAATAAAGCTGAAATTGTCACGCTAAAGGATTTTTTTTTCCGTGGGAGTGGGCTTTACTGTAATAGCGAACGGTTTCTGTAGCAGCAGATAGTCAGGGTGTTTTAGTGTTACAGATGAAACCAGGCTTTCCCCTGCCTTGTGCGCTCCCGCTGTGTCCACCGCAGTGCTTCGGCGAAGCGCTTCTGCCTGTCCATTTGGGGTTTTATGCCCGGATGGTTAAACAAAACTGGGATGGAGGCAGATAATCATCACCATTATTATTAAAGTATTATCTATACCCTGCCTAACAGGCTGAGCTGGTCGCCAGAAGCCCTGTGATGAATTAGATGAAGGGGGATTCCTCGGCACTCTTGATTTTTCAGCAGTGAAAGCAGCACCTTCTATTTCCAGCTACAGCATCAGTAAATAGTGTTCACAGTAAAACCCTAATGGATGCAGTCCACTCTGCACCTTTGCCAACTCAAATATAACCTCTCATTCAGCTAGTATCCATCTTAAGACTCTAAAGTAGTCTTGTGTCTCACCAGTGACTGACAACAGCCTGAGCTGAAGAGGGGGTCCCATTCCTGAGAGTGCCACCATGGGGAAGGACTACTACAAGACCTTGGGCATCCCTAAGGGCTCCAACGAGGAGGAAATCAAGAAGGCCTACCGGCGCATGGCGCTCCGCTTTCACCCGGACAAGAACAAGGATCCTAGCGCAGAGGAGAAGTTCAAGGAGATCGCAGAAGCCTATGAGGTGCTGAGTGACCCCAAGAAGAGGGTGGTCTATGATCAGCTGGGAGAGGAAGGTAAGGAGAGGGCGTTCTGGGTCATTTGAGTGCAAGGGGTCAGAGAGTGCAGGCTTTGTTAGTGAAGCCTTAGCCTGGGTTATGATGGATTAAGTTGTTATTGAAATAGCTCAGGAACCATCTCATATCGCAGCTTGGTGGGTTTCAGTCACTGAAGTAATAATGCCGTCTCTTCCATGTTTTCATGTTTATGTGCTGGCACATGTTTAATTTTCTGTTGTTGTCTTCGGTGTCAACAACACTTACCAGCTCTAATACCTTCTAGTCTACCTCAGCTGCCCATGGAGTGTGTATGTAACTCTGTGTGCGTGTCTGTGTGGTGTGCTAGATGACAGACAGATGGCATAAGACCATTACGTGGTTCAGATATGAATAGCAGCGACTGCTGTAGTTTGCATTTGTGGGTGTTCTGTGCATGTGTCTCTGCTGAAAACGTGTGCGTGTAAGTGTGTGTTTTTGTGCGAGCGTGTTGGATGGAGTGACCTGAGTTTCTCCAACAGCAGTGCTTTTGGAAGACCGGTGATGCTGTGGGATTTTTCCCACCTACGCGGGCACCACTCTTCTCTCTACTGTTACCCGCACTTTGTGTTTAGGTCCTACGTCTGGTATCTGAATT